GTTTATCTTCTTCAAATACGTGGTGTCATACTTCATTTGAATAAAGAGCTACTCTTTAATCTGTAGTACCAGAAACAGAGCAAGTGTAGTTTTCTATTTGTGATTTTTTTTATTTTCAAAAACGTGTATTTAACTTCTGATGTGTTGCTCTCCCACCTCTTCTGATGTATTCTCTTAGGATCTTTTCTGAAAGATATCATTTAACCAGGGAAATATTCCCTAGTCAGAGTTAAAGAGTGTATACTGATCAACTGTTTTACTCCTCCTTCTCTGATAATTTAGTGCCATGCCTTTAGCTCCAATTTCTGTGAAGGAATAGGCAGAGGATGGAGAGAAAAGATGAACTGAAGAGATGGAGGTGAGGAGGAAGAGAGAAATGATGGGGTGAAAGATGGCAAGATGTTTTTAAATTGTAGTAAGACAGTTGATTTAAATAGGTTCATAGTTCCTGGGATATTTTGAGGTAGCATCTTGTAGAAATTTTGGAATAGTAGCACCTTCACTGAATCTCAGGAGGAAACATCATTAGATGTTGACTAGGTTTTACTACTCAGCAGTGTTTGAAACAAACAACCTCATAGTTATCTTTGAGTCTCACCTCCTTGAGTTGTGTTTTGGGCATGGGTAGGAGGTTAGGGTAGTTTGGAAGAGGAGAAAGAAACTCAAGGCTCAGGAAAACAGGAAAGTGGCTGTTAGCTACCACCTACAGACAAAGTCCATGAAACCAAAAGATAGGTACTTACTAATGCACAAATCATATAATACACAATCACCCTAAACAAAATGGCCGTTCAAGCTCAGAAACAGCCTTGGAATTGTAAATGCCTTCATTTGCTTCCCGTTTGTGGCCTTCTGTTGTTATGAGGAAGCCTTTCTCCCTGTTGGAAAGGGTTTCTCTCTGTGACCAAAGATACACGGATGCCCACTTCAGCTTCCTTCTCGCTAGTTGGTTCATGTAGGTGGCAGTTTTATTATTCCTCAGATGGCAGCTTTGATATGACTCCCAATCCCTGTAGGTCCTTTATATCTCACTCTATTTAATTTTATCATGCTAATCATAAAGTTTGACAATATTAGTTCCTATACATTTTCCAAACACATATATGTAAGAAATTAAAGGACAGCAATTCATGTTCTTATCATTGTCATCTCCAATCAGGGAGCAGAAGGGCAGTATGAGATGCCCCTAGACTGATGGCCAAGAGGTGGTAGCAAGTGCAGCCCTCCAATTTGTAGCTCACCATCTGGCTGGAGGAATCAGTGTTTCTATACCATTCAGACTTGGCACTAAGAAGAATGTGTTCAATATTTCAGGCAAAGATATCCATCTCTCAACTGCCTCAAATCCTTTTGAGGACCAATGAGATTCTTCCCAGAGACAATGATAGATTAAGAATAAAATAATGGTACTCGTAAGACATTTTAATGTTAAGCACTAAAGGAATTTTCTCTAATAAATCCAACACAGAATATGATATTTGGAAAACTTTTCACTAATCCCATAAAAAACCTCGTTTGTTTTCCCTGCATGTACATTGGGAGAACAGCAGAAGATAATTCTCTATACATATATATCTATGCAGTAATAATAAGACTTAGAAGGCAAACAAACAAATACTTTAATTGTTTCTATGATCACCTGGTTATTTTCAGGGTTTTTTAAAAAGAGCTCAAGAATTACACTTCTATAAAATTTGGACGTTGCCACTATGCTAACATCTACCATATCCAGAATATAAGACTTGTGCTACTTAAGGTATGAATAGGATAAAAGTTGAAATGTCATTTTAGTTATCAATGATAGACTTTTTCTAAGGATAACATGGCAAACATAGAGTCCTTTAAACTCCTTGAAATCAATCATGAGCTTTTGATTAATGCACGAAAATGACTGAGATTATGTCAAGGATTCATAATAAATTTTAGTTGATCAGTAAATGTGTGTGAAGAAATGTTATTTTCTTTTTTCATCATTTTATATTTATGAAAATTAATTCTATAGTCTGGTGTTCAAGGAAGAGGAAAATCAAGAGAAAGGAAAGAGGGAAGGAAAAATTTGAGATTAAACTGGCTTTTCTGTTCATGCTGTTGTGTAACAACCAGTGAAACTAATTGATTCAAATGAGAGCCACTCAAAAAAATTCTTGCGAAGAAAATCCTGCTGCACTTAAATTATGGTGTGACAGTTATGAACATTGTTAGTCATTTTAGAAACATTTGTATAATTTTGTAATTGGACTAATTCCTTTAAAAAAAACTGTATGGGAGTCAAAATAATTTTGGAGCTTTTAAGGGAGACATTAAAAATTAATCTACTTTCTTTCTGGACTTCTTTTACCAATATTTGTCATTTTTATTAGTAAACATTTTTGGAGAATAATTTCAGATTTCCAGAAAACTCACAAAGATATTACAACTATTGTTCTAAACCAGAAAAAAAGTCAAATGGTGTTGTCATTACTGTCATGCTTTGTATTGTCAAGAAAATTTTCTTGGTTTGAAAGTAAAACAAATGAATACCTGCTTTAAATGAGCACTACCTGACTTTATGGTGCTACTCAATTTTGACCATTCCATGGTGAACAAGCGTATCAATGCCCATGCCATTTATAATTACTTTTTAGTGTAATTTAATTTTCTAGTTTACTTATTAATTAGATGTTTCAATCTTCATTCTGTATGCAATGACTATTTACTAAGCATCAGATTGTATTAGTCAGCCTTCCTGTGCTTTGACAAAATACCTGAAATGCACAATTTAAAATCAGAGAGATTTACTTTGGCTCACAATTTTGGTTGGTTCAGTCCATGGTGGGCTGAAATAGCATGGGAAGAGCCAAGAAGCAGAGCAGGAAACAAGAGTATACCTTATCAGGTCATGCCCTGGGTGACCCACCTCTTCTAATCAGGTCTTACATATAAGCTGCACAGTCAGCTATAAATTCATGAGTGGACCACTAATGAGAATAGTACCACTATGAGACAATCACTTTCAAACACTTGAGACCTTGGGGCTACACTTTAGATCTAAACTACAATACGAATACTTACAAATTACATTAGAAAGAGAGAAAAGTAAAGAATTGAAATAAAATCCTCTATGATTCAGGAATACAGAGGTACAATTTTTTCTGCAATTCATTAATTGTGCTATATTAAAAATATAATAATTAATATCTATATACAATGCCACTTCTTTAAGATTTTAAAGAATAATCTGTGATTGGAGTTACAAAGAGTTATGATCACAGTGTCACTAATTTTTAATTTTCAAGACATTTCAATCCTACAACTCACCAATCATCTGGATACAGTTGGTTCTCTTTGGGGGATACTTCAAAAAGCAGAAGTGAGAGAGTTCAAACAGTGGGACAAAGAAAGACAAAAAAAAGCCAATGAAGAATATGTTTTTGAGCTGGTTTCCAGTATGAGAATGAAACTGAGTCGTGTGGGCCCCTCTGGTGAATCATTTTGAAGATACCTCAGAAATATTTCATCAGAAAATGAAAGGCTGGAATATTTCCCCATAGGCTTTCACACTCTATCATTTGAATTTATTGGTTTTCAGGGTTTAACTCCCCTGAAATCCTTGGCTACCTGTATTCGTGATGAATGGCTTTCCAGAGCTGTGGTGACTGTGATGAGTAGAACATCAGTCATTTTTGTTTGATGAGCTTGGGAGGATAATGTGTGTTTCACTTCTGATTATGACTGTGATGAAGTCAGAACCTGAAAGGAAATGAGATTCAAGGCACTACAAGTACTGCTACCTTGGTCTGCATTCCTTACATTTTAGCTCTTTTCAGAACAAACCTAACAGAAGGAGCAGTTCTGCAGAGTGAGCGAGGTGGACACACTAATACATTTTTATGTTAGAGGGCATATAACTGAATCATGAAGCCGAACACATTTTAACGTTACTATGAATGAGTAGATAGTGTTTGAGATCGAGCAGCCTGAAACCTTTCAGTATCTACATGCAGTCTGCATCCTTTTCATTATTATGTGTGGTTTGCAGTGCCTCCTAATCATTAAATTCCTTAATAAACACATTTGCTTACATCCATTAACAAAATTCATGGAATGTCCATTATGTTCCCAGTACTTTGCAAATTGCTGCACTTTGCTGGCCATAGTGAGCAAAAATGTGCTCTCATTTTATGTATTTTTCAGGAAGTCTAGAAAAGAGGATGTACTACTTGGTAGAGACTAATTATCTTAAAGAATTAAGGAAAATTCATATCGTTTCTGGTGCTCTACTTTGCAATGGAAGAAAAAATTGAAATGTAGGTAATGTTGGTGATAACGTTCTTGAAATATTTAAAATCTTGTTCACTGAATGTTACATTTCAAGTGTAGTTTTTATTTTCCCCAAGTTCTTTAAGTGTGAGAAAATGAAGTCATTTGAAATTTACTTAAGTGAGAATTTCTCTCACTTGTAAAACAACTTCACTAAGTGGAATAATTTATTAGAACAGTGACCCAGGGAATACACAAACCTGCTCTACACAGAGCTGGATTTTGTAACCTGAGCATTTTTGTCTCACTGACTCCAGGTAAACTGGAGATTATTTGGAATTATAGAGGTAATGGATTATTTAGAATTATAGAAGTAATAACATACAGTATTTGAGTTTACTTTGTTGTTGTTCAAAAAGTGACAGAGACATTTGAAACAATTACTTCAACCAGTGTTGCTCAAAATTCAGTCACTTATATTAAATTTATGAGTTTTGCCTCATCTGACATCAGTACTGGATTATAACATTAAAGTCAATGTAATCTGGATTTTGTAAGCTAGTCCTATGTTTTCTAATACATATCAAGTTTATTATTAAAATTGAATGTGTCTATTTGTATATTATTTATATTTATCTCAAAGCCTACCAATGGTGTATGTTAGGTGACCCTGAGTTAAAAATGAAATCTCTGGGACAAATGGTCAAGTTATGTTCAAAATGAAATAATTTGGAAGACAAGAAAAGTAAAAGAGCCAGATCTTTTAGTCTGATGTTTTATTGCTCACCGCACACATGTTGAAACAGACACACATTTCCCACTGTAGATCACATAACACCGCACTTTCTTAGGGGAGAGTATTTGTCCCAAAAGCATGCAATAGTAAATTCTCAAATGATGAAGAGTCAGCATGCAGCCTCCTAAAGCTGGGAGAAGGAAGCCAAGGCATTCAGAGGCACATCATAAGCAACATGCAAATCAATCAAGTTGTCATAGTAACCTGAAGCTAATCACTATGCGTTTTTCAATTTAATATTTGATGTTCAATCTTCAATGTCAAAGCTTAAGTTTTTGAATTGTCTGGCTTGCTGAGCTAGCACTGATTTCTACGGTTATCATACTTGGTAACTTCAGAGTAGTTAAGGACCTCTAAATGCATACACACATATACGTAGTTGTCAATATATGATGACAATATAATATACCAAAAAGATATATACAGTCACTTGGAAAATTAGGACTCTAAGAATACATTTGGAATTATAACACTTACATGACAAATAGTATACTATGTTTTCTATACATAATAAATGAAACTCACAAAGTTTACAAAATAAACATAGCTTGCCTATGTACATTTCTACTTTATACTTGGATATGGGTGACTTTTTTCTGACCAAATATAAATATAGGTAGTTCCCTTTCTTATTTTATTTCAATTTATTTATTTACTTATCCAGACTGCCTTCCTTAGTAAATCGCTGATGAACTGGGCTGCTTAGGATTTGTGTTCTAGTACTCAGAGTCTTGCTCTAAATTTTATTTTGTTTATCTGTTCTTATTCGTCTTTTTTCTCTTGTATGGATCCTCTTGGCTTTTACAATCTAAATCAAATCTATCTTCTCTACAAAGTCTTCCTTCATGGTCCCAGAACACCTTAGGCCCTCTTTCTTCTGAATAATGTGGTTATTATATGCGGTACGAAATCACACCACGTGACTCCCAACTATTTTATCTGCTTTTATTTTATGCTTCTGTGTTCATATGTCATCACTAAATAGTGACCTTCTTGAAAACAGAGCCAATGCTTTGATCTTCCTCTCTCATTGTTACGTTAGGTAACGGAGAAGAGAGTGTTACTGAAATCATCACACATACTGTATCTAAGTACTGTTTTGAACACTAACTGATACACAAAGCAGTGCCTGTCACTGAGCCATGAAAAATGCTTAAAAAACTAAAAACAAGCAAAAACAATTATTGTATCTTGATAGCTTTATGGGCAAACTGGGGATGACTGAGATTTTCTAATGTACTCCTTACTTTGGAGTTCACTGATACATTTATTCATTTAGCAGATATCGGGGACAACACCCAAGTTTAGATGATTTGTGAAATACAATGAGAAACACATTTGCCCTCCAGGAGTTCTCTGCTTAGTTTTTTATAAAAAATTATTTGATAACTTAAGAGAATTGAAGAGCTCAGAACCCAGTGGTTTTCAAGGTGAATCCAGAGGACTTTGGGCATTAAAATCACCTGAAAAAAAGGACCATTTCTTGGAGTAGGAACAAATAAAGCACATTTGGAGATGACCTCCCACCTAATTCTTATGTGTGTCTCGCCAGGGGTGCTTACTAGTCCTGGTGACTGACGAACACTGGACCTCGTGACTGGGACTCTTTGTACCATTGCAGGCATAGTGGAATGTTCCATTATTGACTTTTGAGTTCAGACCTCTGTTAGATGGAATTCTACTCTGCTGCCAGATTGTATTTATTTTTACTTCCTGAAAAGATCCCTTCGTTCTCCATATCAGCTCAAAAGCATTCTTAAGGAAGTTCATGTCCTTTTTTGGCAAAGAATGGCCACATGTATAAGAAATAAGTCCATTGTTTTGCAGAGATCATAGGATCTCAGGAGCTCTAGCTTACTCCATTGTTTATCCTATCTTTTACCTTTGGTGATTTTCAAAGTGCTTTGATTTCCCTGGGTCCAGTGGAGATTGTCATGTGAGCTCCACCCACGTGCTCTGGCATAGTCACTATGGGAACTCATTTTTCATTTCCTTTGGGTCCTTGCCACCTTCAGAGTTGAAGATGCTGACTCAACTGTACTATTTCACCAAATTTTTCTATATCTTTTCTAAATTCCATGTCACTTCCAAATTTTTCCATGTCATTTCTAAAATGTAAATTAATCAAATAATATTAGACTTGCCATGAATATGCTTGGTATAGAAGAATGTAAACAGGCCTGATTACACTGTATACAAACATTTGTGATCACTCCTATCACAGAGAATACTGGAATATTAAATCCAGAACCATATTGACATAGTTTATATCAGCATAATCCATTTGGTACAAACCATTCCAGTGATACATTGTTCCCAATGTGAAAGTTTCTTAAATGAAGTTGGCTGTTCAGTGATTTGAGATTATTCTTATAGACCAAACATACAATAAGAATATAACAGGGTATTATCTGACCTTGTTTTTTATTTTCTGTATGTTCAGTGCAGTTAAAAAATTGAGTTGATATTTCTAACTTTTAATCCATAAAATAAAGTTGGAATAAGTGATCTTTATATTAAGTCTTTGCATAAAGTCTTTGCAAATGGACTGTTAATAGTTTCTTTTTAAAGGTAGTTGTGACATCTGAAACTCATATTCTTAAAATTATTAAAAGATTACATTTTGAAGTGTTAGAATATTGGCTTTTTATCACTGGACTTTAAGTTTTATAAAAGTGAGAGAGTCTATGGTTTCTTCAAAAATTTTGTGGAAATATTTTATGATTTAGTACAGTACAACAAAGGATTCTTTTAAATGATTTTCTCTTCTCTGTAGATCAAGGTGTCAGATATTACACAGAAATATCTAATGTTATAGTGGCATTTTTTTTTGTCTTTTTCATTTTTATCGGTACCAGGGATCGAACTCACAACCGCCCGCTTGCAAGGCAGGTGCTTATGCCGCTGAGCTAAATCCCCAGCTCCTGTGGCATTTGTTTTAGGGTAGACATTTTTTAAATTTCCCATATGGTCTATAAGTGAGAGATTATTACCAGATAACTTTTCAAAAATTAAAATGGAAAAACTGACCCCACATATAAAATTCCCAAAGGCTAGTAGATTATATTGTGTTCTGTATATGCCTTATAAAACTAATCATCATTTTTTCAAGTTCTGATATTATCATTCTACAGAGTATACATATGTGTATGCATGTATACATGTGTACACATATTTATCAGGCCACCAGGTCATAAGAATTTAGATTGGAATACTAACTTTACAAAAGAAAAAGAAGAAAAGCATGTTTTGTACATTTTCTCTGCTGAGGAGTCAAACGATTTAGGGGAGCAGCATGGATGCCTGATACTGGGGTTTTCACCAGAGCAGGCATGGCTGTGGTGACCCTGTACTGACAATGATGTTGACTTACCAGGAAGCCCAAGACATGGCAGGTGCTCAGTGATGTTTGTCCTTTCTCTTAGTGAAAAAAATTTCTAATATATTCCAATCCCTTGGTTTACACATACATGTATGCATTTGTGCACATCTACACAGGTGCTTTGTGACTTGGGGTTGTATCACTGTAGTGCTTCAAAAGCATTATTTAATTCAAGTTCAAATGGACTCTTTAGTGTCATGAAAATAGACTTTCAGTATTATCTTTTGTGAATAATTGCTTGCATTTGTTTTCTACAATGGTGACAAGATAACAATGTCTTCCTGCAGTAGATGTCAGGCTATGTTTCATAGGAACACATTCTGGACTTCGATTCTGATGGCAGACTCTTCATGAAGCAACATTTGGAAACAGAATGGTGCTTCCTGTTTTAAGAAGATGGGGGAGGGAATTATCATTAGCAACTAAGTTCCAGAAAAATTCATGAAATAGGGGGATAGGCTGGGGTACTCGAAAGTACAGATACTTTTTGATTAAAAGTCAGTAATTCCTCAGCTATCACTGAGGGTACCTGATTTATACTCTGAGTCTGATTAGCCAAAACTCAGTAAATGAGTCATTTGAAGAAAGATTAGAGTAGGTCCCAAGTGGAAGAGCATTCACACCTGTCTAATAATCATAGGAATCGTAGGTTTAAGTCAAAAATATAAAGATACTGAAAATAGTATGAAATCAATTTTGTGTCCATTAAAAATAAAGCTAACAGACTTCCACATCATTTTGATTTGGAATCTGTAAACAAAAATATTGCTAGCATTTGAAAATAAACCTACAAATAACAGATGGGCACAAAGGAAAAACAGTGACAGACAGGTCTCCGTGAAATGGGAGGTCTTCGCGTGGAGGTATAGTAGCCAGATTTTGGCTAACACTAAGCTTTTGGGGATGTTTCAGACTTTGTGTTAGGTTCAGCTAGAAGGATTTTCTTGACTTGGCTCAGTAGTTTACACAGAAGCAAGTTCAAAAAAGATTTTCTTCCTTACAAGTTTCAGAGATAAAGTGAATCCTTTTTAAAAAAGATTTTGTGTTGGGTATACATTTCTACATTGTATGTCAATTTGTATCTCCACAGTCATTTAATTTGAATATTTCTGTACTTTCATCCAACGTTTAGGAGGCTTGAACAGTTGTTAAGAGTTGGATTTATCTCAAGTTTAAATTATGTTTCCTCAATTGGTACTTTTGTGTATTTTGACATTCATTTTACAGAGTGAAGTTGTATGACGAGTCTATTTTGTAAAAAATACTTTGAATTTCTAAACATCATAAACATTATGACAGTATTTTTAATATATTGAATATGTCTGAAATCTCATTTTTAATCAGTAACTGAATTTTTCCTTACTTTTCTCTATAGTATCAGATATTCATGAAAAACCTTGTACTTTATGAAAAGGAAATCCTAAATAAAACATTTAAAAGTTTATGAGCTGACAAATTACCAATGTATGAATAACTTTTTAAGGGAAATCACATTTGATAAGATTCTTATGAATGATGTAAATTGGTATTCAGAATCTATTGTAATTCCATAACCCCAGAAAATTTAGCGATTTCTCCAAGTAAATAAAAGGGGCTAAACTTTTAGCTTTCACCATTTAGCTATTTTATAAATTTACCCTATTTTTTTGTTTTGTTTTGTTTTTGCTACACGAACTCTGTAGGAAGGAAAATCTGAATCATTCTCATGGAGTAGGTATTTATGACCAGGATTGGCAGAGCAGAGGCAAAGACTGGCCTGCCTTCCTATTTGAGTATTGGCTGTGTCCTCTCTTGTTGGTAACTGAAGAGATTCTCATTTATTTTGTGGTCCATTTTCTCGTACTTCACAAATCAGCTTTGGCTAAAGGTTACCTCCGAAGCCAAGCAGGTATCATCAAAAGACACTTTAGTGGCAGACAAGTAAGCGTCTGTGACAGTGATGTCCTCCAGCTCTGTACTGTAGTGGTCTGACTCCTTGATGACGCTGTAACTGAGGGCCACGCTGTAGTGAGCTGGCTTTTCTTTTGGCTTCTGTTTGCAGTTGCAGAGCTTTCTGAAGGCTGCACGGAATTTCTGGGACATGAGGTTGTAAATCACTGGGTTGATCGCACTGTTGAGATAGATGCAAATTCTGCAAAAGAGCAAGAACCAATTTTCTTGGAAAGGACTGGAGAGAAATGAGTTGACAACCACAAGAGTCCTGTAGGGCATCCACAAAAGGGCGAAAAGGATTACAACCACAGCCAGCATCTTGGTGACCTGTGGAGAAAGAGAAAGAGATGTGATACAAACACAACTAAAAGCAGAACAAAATCACCCTCCCTCTCCCTGCCCCAGTGTTCATTCTCAAAATGTACCCTGAGTCAGGACTTAGGTGCAGGTTGTTTATTTGTGAGGTGAACCCAGGAAAAAGGACTAAGGGTATAACAGAGACGGTGATGGAGGTGCCATTGTTAAAATGGCTCCCTCTGTGGGCAGCTGCCGCTTAAGTAAGGTGATCAGAATGATCTGTCTGAAGGGCATTCATCCACTGCTTCTTGCTTCCATTTGTCGAAGGCTCCTCGGGAATTTTGTCTCCTCTGTGCCTGTAAAACAGTCTGGGAACTGGAGGGGAGACCTTGAGGCAGAGGAGAAGAGTGACCAACTTGGAATCCTGGGTGTCCAAAAAGGGGTATTGTCTGCAGGCAGGGATCATCCACTATGGCAGGGCTGAAATCAGTTAGGCTATGAGGATGTGAGCGCTGGGCACAAAAATTGTCAGGGTCAAACATCGGGAAACCTAAGCTTCAATCTAATCTCATCTTTCCTATCCTAATATGTAGCATTAAATTATCTTAATTTTTGTTAATAGCACATCTGCAAAATGAAGCCAAAACCATTCCCTTCCTAAATCAAATGAGATAACATGACAATATAAGAATGATAGAGCAAAAATGTAATGGTTGTTAGAGAGTTATCATGTGCTAGACACTAGACCAGCTGTTTTATAATTATTTTAAGTCCAAGAAGCATGAAATCCTTCAACAGTAGGTATTGCACATGCCATTTTTCAAGTTAGAAAATTGAGGTGCTGGATTCCGGAAGAACATGGCAGATAGATAGCAGCAGCCTCTGAGGCTCTCGGAGAAACTGCACTTGAAATATAGGAATGGTGCCGGACAGGAAGTCCCAGGCAAGGGGGGATATTCTTCGCTGACCCAGGAACGAACTAAATTAAGAGAAACCACCTGGAAATGCAATCCTGGTGAGACAGCAGGCACAGATAAGGTATCAGCACGGAAGCTGGATCCGCAACACTGGAAACTGTGATTTGAATTATCTGCAGCCGCTATTGCGTCCTGGTCGGCACAGCAGGGAGAGAGGCGCAAAAGTTAGGAGAGTGGAAAGTGTTGAAAGGAGTTGGGAGCAGGACTGACCGGGTGCCCTGCATCGACCTGCGGTGAGTGAGCAAGCAAATCAGACCCTTACATAGAGAAGGAGGCTTCAGCGGAGGACATACTCTGACTGGGCAGACTTCCCAGAATGAGAAGCTGCAGTGACTTCAGTCACATATCCCCCTCTCAAGCGGGATTGGTGGGGAGTGCCTGGCCTGTGAGACGCCGCTGGCTGAGACCCAATAGCCTAGCCCAACTCAGGTCCCAGTGCCTGAAGGTGCACCCTAGTGGTGAAGCCTTCGGTAGGTTGACCTGGAGGGGCGGGCCCAGCAGAGGCTGCCCAGGTCTGTGTCTCCCTAGTACACTGCAGTGGGTGGGAACACCTAGCCTGCAATTCAAACAGACTGTGGCCGACAGGGAAGGAAGCTAGGCCTCCTATACATGCTTAAATATAAGGAACAAAGAATACGGGAAGAGGGAGCAACAAGAAAGGGTCCTCAGCCCCCAATCCTGAGAAACACACAATAGTAGACATGGCACCAACAGATATAAAGCACAATCTCCAGAGCCTCATAGATGAGTTTAGGAATGAAGTTATTAATGACCTGAAGCAAGACATAAGCAGAATAGTTAGAGAAATGCTAAGCACCATCCAAGAAAAAACAGATGGTGGAATGGAAGAACAGAAAAAAAGGGGAGAATTGTTTGATGAAGAAAATAGAGAAAACATAGAATACATGAAGCAGGTTCAAAGAGATTACCAGGAAACTAAAAACTCTATCGAAAACTGGCATAACACTTGAAAGAAACTAAGGACAGATTATCTGAAATGGAGGGCAGATTTGTAATATGGGAGCGTGAAATGAAAAACTTCTTAAAAATAACAACAACAACAACAACAAAAACCCAAACAGCAACAATACAAAAACTAGAAGATGATAAGAGGATCTATAACTTAAGAACATAAGAGAAGAAGTGGGGACACAAACAAATGGACTACAAAAGCTATTCACAGAAATAATCCAAGAGTATTTCCCTAATTTGGCAAATGGTAAAGATACTCAGATATATGAGGCATACAGGACCCAAGCAACCTACAACCCAAACAGAGCTACACCCAAACATATAATAATCAAAATTCCAGAAATCCAACATAAGAACAGAATATTAAAAGCTGTCAGAGACAAGAAACAGATCACTTACAAGGGAATACCCATCAGAATTACAGCAGACTTCTTGGCACAAACCATCAAATCACGAAGCACGTGGGGCAAAATAATTCAAGCTTTGAAAGGTAATAACCTCCAGCCAAGATTGATATATCCTGCACAACTGTCCCTAGAAATTGATGGAAAAACAAGGTGCTTCCAGGATAAAGAGGAACTAGGGGAATTTGCAACCACTAATTCAACTCTACAGAGAATACTGCAGGATAGTCTAAAGAAAGAAAATACCAAGATTCCAGAAATAGTGGCTGAGAGGCCACAATGAATGGAGCAGAAAATGAAATGAAGAATGACAAACTGACAACAAACGACAGAAAAAGAGCTCAACAGAAATGAGATAGAGAAGATCGGAAGGTAGGAACAGCAATTTTGGAGAAAACAAGACTTCGTAATAGCTAGTGCTGATTTAGTATCATCTTGTTTTAAAGTCCCATCAAACGTGTATTCTTCAGTCTCCATTGGTCTTAAAAGGTTGTATCTTACTGGATTTTATTATATATGATAATATAAGCAAAAACTTAGCATGTGGGGCAAAATAATTCAAGCTTTGAAAGACAATAACCTCCAGCCAAGATTGATATATCCTGAACAAATGTCCCTAGAAATTAATGGAGACATAAGGTGCTTCCAGGATAAAGAGGAACTAGGGGAATTTGCAACCACCAGTTCAACTCTACAGAGATTACTGCAGGATATTCTAAAAATGAAAAATACCAAGCTTCCAGAAACAGTGGCAGAGAGGCCACGATGAATGGAACAGAAAGCAAAATGAAGAAGACAAACTGACACCTAATGACAGAAAAAGAACTCAACAGAAATGAGGCAGAGGAGGTTGGATGGTATGAACAGATATTTTGGAGAAAACAAAACATCATAATAACTAGTGTTGATTTAATATCATCTTGTTTTGAAGTCTCATCAAGCTTTTGTTCTTCTGTCTCTATCGGTCTTAACAGGTTGTATCTTATTGGATTTTATTATATGTGATAATATAAATAAAAACTTTTATAGACAAGGAGATAATACAGAAACCATTGTTCACTGTCTGTTAGTTGGTTCTAAAAACCCTGTAATACTGTCATTCTCTTGAATGGTTTTACATTGTCTTGATATGTTTGATGCTACAGTATATGAAGTTATACTCAAAAGATTTCAAGGAAAGAGATACTATGGTAACTACTTTTATGTCGGGATATCTTGTGGTGAAACACTATTTTGCTTAAATGGTTATATTCTGACTTGTGCTGTTTTGTCGTTGTGTCCTCCTTTATCTCAATTTCCTTTTTTATTATTTTTATCTTTTTAATTAAGGGAAAAATAAATTAAAAATAGCAGGATATATTATAGTAACCCACTTTTCTTTCCTATTAACTTGATTTGAAACCCTGTATTGCTCTCACTATCTTGTTTGACTGATTTTACTCTATTCTTTTTTGCTTGATAGTACCAAGTTTGAGAGTATAGGCAACAACTATGAAGACCATAAGATTCACTATGATGCCCACTCTGGTTTGACTATTATCTTCTTTTGAAGTCCTGTAATGTCTCCAATGTTTTGGTTTTATTTGTTTTGTTCTTTACTGTTTTGTTAAATTTTATTATAACTTATGATATAGGCAATTCTTTTTGAGATAGCAAGAGGCATTATGATAACCATTGTTGATCACCTTGTATTCTTTTTTTACATCATGTACTATGTCCATCCTTTTGATTTGACTGACTCTGTTTTGTTATGTCACATTTGGTTTTATTCTCTTCAAAAAAAGTTAATAAGAACTCTGGGAGTAATAAAACCCAAAATCTGTAATAGTCATTGTAAAAAAGAGAGGAAAAGAAAGTGCTCTAAAATATGTAACTGCATGTATATTTAAGTGTATAAAATAGATAACCATATTACTGAGTTTTTGTGGGGACACTGAACAGAACTGTTTGCAGTCTCATTGAATGTCCACTTTATATTCTTTAATTTTGTACCTTGACCAACTATTTCTAAGATGACAATATGTAATCTATTAACTAGTGATTTCCTACTGTTAATTTTTTTGAAATTCTGTATAACTTGTACCTTTTTTCTGTTTTCTTTTTTTTCTCCTTAAATAAAATTTTAAAAAATTAAATTAAATTAAATCACACTTCAAGTGTTGGTGGAAATTGTGTGTTAGAGTCCGGGTCGGAATCCTAGCCTGCTGCATTCAGTGTTTGCCCCTCCCACTGTGCAGCTTTCCTCCAATTAAAGGAGGTAGATGAAAGAGAAAATTTTACATAGCACGGACCCTGCTTTTAAGTACAAGTCAAGCACAAAAGATAGCTTCTGTGAGCCCGGGGTTTAGCTACATCCTCCCAACTTGGTACCCGACCCAGAGAATCAGCTTATCTCTTCAAGAGTAACTTCTACCTCCTCCTCCCCATTGCAGAGATAAACTTCCCATTCCCTTTTTGTGCATGCGTTGAGCCCTCTATGATTCCAAGACTCCACAACCACCCAAGCCTCCACTCCCAGCCCCCAGTAAAACTCTGTCTCATTTTACATAGGCAGATGCTCCTTCAAGTCAGTTAATATGTCATTTTGCCCACCTCCCAAACTCCTCCCCCAGCCAAATCTGATAAAAGTATCCCACTTCTTGGTTCTCATTTGAGAGCCTCTGTATCCCCTGCCCTT